GTGAACATCAGAAAATTAATCACCAAGATACATAATGTCGTACTGGAGGACACGTCAGCAAATGTCAAGACATATTAAAAGGGTGTGAAGGGGGGGTGTAGGGTGTGTAGGGAGGGGGTGTAGGGTGTGAGGAGGGTGTGAGGAAGAGGGGGGGGGGAGTGTAGGAGGGTGTGAGGAAGAAGAGGTTACACCTGTGAGTGGCGCGGAGATGAGGAAGGGTCGAAGCGGTGTGTCTCATCGCTGTTTCGGCTCGTTGGTCGCCGCCGCCACCGCCGCTCCTGTCGGCGACGCGGGCGTTCGACCTCCTCCCACCTTCTCCCAGTTCGACCTCCTCCCACCCTCTCCCAGAACAAACACCATTTCCGCGGATAGTTCCTGTCGTGTGGAAGCCGCAAGCACCTATCTGGCTTGCGGCTTCCACACCGCTGGACCACCGGACCGGACCGAATCACACCACCGAATCACCGCTGCTTCTAATCAAAGCTTTAAAACAATCATTAGAAGTAAAATAACAAAAACCAATCTACTGCAGCTTAGCTATAGTTTAGTAATTCGGCTGACATTCCTAGCACACTTGACCCATTTTTATTATTATTATTAATGTTGTTGTTAAAGATTCGCTACTTGGAAGAAACAGTTCCAAGTAGCACGGGCTATGGTGAGCCCGTAGATATTATTTATCATTGTTGCTGTTATTATTCATTTTAAGATTTAATGTGAATTATATTCCCCTAGACTAACACTGCGGTCCTTATTTTTTCTTCAGCGTAACTATGGTAGCTTTTTATTCCTAATGCAAAATCCTTATCTTTTTATTATTGTTGTTTAATAACAATTGTTTTACTAATTGTTAATATATCCTGGGAAATATTTTGACTCCAAATGGCGATTGTGGAATTTGATTATGTAGTTTCTTGGTACTTACTGGTAACTGTGGCTTCTTGAGGTTATCTTGAGACGATTTCGGGGCTTTTTAGTGTCCCCGCGGCCCGGTCCTCGACCAGGCCTCCACCCCCAGGAAGCAGCCCGTGACAGCTGACTAACACCCAGGTACCTATTTTACTGCTAGGTAACAGGGGCATAGGGTGAAAGAAACTCTGCCCATTGTTTCTCGCCGGCGCCTGGGATCGAACCCAGGACCAAAGGATCACAAGTCCAGCGTGCTGTCCGCTCGGCCGACCGGCTTCACCTTATCAATGTAATAGTTTTTTTTGTTTTTAATTTTAATGTGAATTGTTGTTGGTTTAATTTAGAGGACACTGTTCTGACTGCTGACAGCGATGTGATAACATTGGCAATTATTGTAGATTATTTGTTCAAACGTCTGAAATAATATATTTTTTGTTTCTTAATGTGAAGAAAAAATTAACAATATCAGAAAGCTGATGAGAGAGAGAGAGAGAGAGAGAGAGAGAGAGAGAGAGAGAGAGAGAGAGAGAGAGAGAGAGAGAGAGAGAGAGAGAGAGAGAGAGAGAGAGAGAGAGAGTCAAAAGAAAGCTCTCAGCCTACAGAAGCCAGAACCATCTACTCCTATATTTTCGCGTTAAAGAGAAAAAGAGAGAAAGAGAGAGAGACAGAGAAACAATGGAGCCGCTTCTGCCAATCTTTAATACCGAGGAGACGGGAGAGAAACCCCCCCCCCCATCTCTCTCCCCCCAATCTCTCTCCCCCCAATCTCTCTCTCCCCCCCCCCCCCCCACAAACAGCGCATTACGGAGCAAGATTATCATCATCCACCTGAGTTAGAATGGATAATTCGATAATTCTGTGCCTGATTGGAGCCAGGGGGCACCACGATCCTGTCTGGACGCGTTCATTGGTTGAGCCGGAACCTCAACACAAACTATTTTGGAGAGGGTTCTTGGTGAAGGAAAGGGGGGGGGGAGAGGGAGAGAAGATCCTTGCCCCTCGGTTATTGCATTTGTGGATGTGTTTGCATGGCCCAATCGCCAAGTTTTGCAGGTGGGGGGAGGATTGGAGGTACCAGTGATCATGCAGGCTTGTGAATCTATGTAGTTCCGCGAATACTTCTGGTCTTTTGGAAGCCGCAAAGCGCTTAGTTTGCGGCTTCCACACAGCTGGACCAGTGGACCAGACCACCGGATCAACCGCTGCTTCTAATCAAGGCTTTGATTAGACAAGATCGATATCTAAGGCTTCTAATCAAGGCTTGAATGGGAATATATATATGTGATCAGACTCTTCAGGGAGGGGAATTATGGGGTCCAAATCATCGGGATTCATGGGTTTGGGAATCGTATCTCGATGAGTAAGCTGGTGGTTGGGTCACTTGTTACAATCAGAAGACTTGGATTGGGATACATATCACAATGAGCAGACTTGAGTGGGGATACATATCACAATCCAACCCGTTCTCGCAAATTTAATAAGTCAATATTGACTTATTAAATATGTGCATAGGTGACATACTTAACATAATAGTTTCCCTTGAAAAGCTTCAAAGAAAACACCGACCTTACCTAACCTACTTAGTATGTTAAGACAAGCATCTTATTGCTTCGTAATTACAATTATTACCTAACCTATACCTATAATAGGTTAAGTAACAATTGTAATTACGAAGCTATAAGATGCTTATTTTAAAATACTAAGTAGGTTAGGTAAGGTCGGTGTTTTCTATGAAGCTTTTCAAGGGAAACTATTATGTTTAGTATGTCACCTATGCACGCAACTAATAAGTCAATATTGACTTATTAAATTTGCGAGAACGGGTTGCACAATCAGAAGACTCTTGGGTTGGGATAAGTGACACAATCGGAAGACTCCTCAGCTAGGATTCCTTATCCAAACATGAGCTTCCTGAGTGCCCAAACACTTACGCAGGCAAACGCGTCCATATCGTTCGCCTTTGGAATGAAAGCGGAACACGCGGCCAACAGCATTCCTCACAGGACACCAATTACATTGACACAGTAACTATCAGAATCTCTTTTTAAGTCACGTGATTCTTTCCCCATAACCTAATTGGTTGATACCTGGTTGATGGGGTTCTGGGAGTTCTTCCACTCCCCAAGCCCGGCCCGAGGCCAGGCTTGACTTGTGAGAGTTTGGTCCACTAGGCTCCATAAGACACACACACACACCATTGTCGTATTTAACCTGCGGATCTGCAGTGGTTGCGTAGCAATCAGATTAATTATATACTAAAAGAGGGGGAACCTGCTCTCGCATTTGGAACATATGCTAATTTAATTCCTCCCCTTTTTAAGCATTTTCCTCCGGTTTTCAGAACACATAATGGAGGTGAAGGCGTCGGTGGGAGTGGAATTTATCGTTAAATGTTTATTTTTATACATTTTTTAAGTATTTATGAAACTGGGGAGGAAATGTTAGAATAGTTGTTTCTAATATAAACAAATACGCGAGCTTCTTTTTTTCGGGCTTGCTTGCGCTCGCTAGATTCGTAATTATTTTAGACCTAATTGAGAAAAGTTGGTGATGATAGTTTTGGAAGAAATTGCGCAAGACGCTTCGGGGGGGAGGGGGGGAGAAGCAGCGTCAACCTTCATTCTATGAGAGTAGACAACCCATCTTACTTAACACGTCCTCACAATTACTATGTGGCTCTCTGATTGACGTTTGCTGCTGCCCATATGTGTGTGTGTGTACTCACCTAATTGTACTCTCCTAATTGTGCTTGCGGGGGTTGAGCTCTGGCTCTTTGGTCCCGCCTCTCAACCGTCAATCAACTGGTGTACAGATTCCTGAGCCTATTGGGCTCTATCATATCTACATTTGAAACTGTGTATGGAGTCAGCCTCCACCACATCACTTCCTAATGCATTCCATTTACTAACTACTCTGACACTGAAAAAGTTCTTTCTAACGTCTCTGTGGCTCATTTGTCTGTGTGGCTGTGTGTGTGTGTGTGTGTGTGTGTGTGTGTGTGTGTGTGTGTGTGTGTGTGTGTGTGTGTCATTTCTCTCCTACCAGGCCACAGTGCCCGCAACACCCGAGTGTCTGCAGGTGTTGCAGAAACACATGAAGTGTCGTCTGCAACACCTGAGAGTTGATACAACTGACGAGCTTAGAAACCACCCGTAAAGCCTCTCGCATAACACCTCGGATTTTGAAGTTAAAAATCTCCAACGTCAAAAAAATAAGATGTACAAAAAAAAAAAAAAAAGAATCACAGTGGAAAAAAAATGACCTCATATCCCGTTTTCTATCTGTGGGTCCTTGGCTAGGTTAAGTTAGTGTTCGGGCAAGTTAGTACACCATTGTAGTAACGTTGTGACCGCTGTATCATGTTATATATATATCAATGAAACATAGAAATATAACTTCCTTATCCAGCGAAAACGATCAGGGGTATTTCTTAAATTTTCCTCTCTATAATATCCATTATCCCGTCATTGTGTAAATTTTCAACTTCTTGAAAGGCAGACCTGGAATCACATGAACAAACCCACAAGGGCCGTGACGAGGATTCGAACCTGCGTCCGGGAGCATCCCAGACACTGCCTTAATCGACTGAGCTACGACAGGGTATATCACATATAAATGTGCTGGAATCACATATAAAAATTTCTATTCCTTCTATTATATTAAGACGAATCCCTTTGATGGGAAATATTCCATAGCCTCGACTCATCAATCTAAGTGTCCCCACAGACGAAACCTCTACATCTTCCCTCCTTCATGGCAGCTTTGATAGCATTTATTAAACAGTTTACGAGCAGCTCGGAAGCGCTCTACGTACGATGTTGTCTGTAACGATGATTAGGGTTGAGAACGACATCGCAGCGTTTCCAAGCTCGTAAACTCTTTCATAAATACGAACTAAGCCGCCATGATGGAGAAAAGATGCACATGTTTCGTAATAAATGCTTGAGAATCAACAAAAATATCGATACAGCTCCTCCAGTCTTCGTGAGTAATTAAAGAACAATCACTGCTCCCAGTCTCATGGGACCGAATTTACATAAAAGTAATCGAAATGTAATTAAAATCTTTGTAGTATTTTATACTTTAATCAGCTATCCTTGTTGCTGAGGATGTGTGCCCCTTGTTGCTGAGGATGTGTGCCCCTTGTTGCTGAGGATGTGTGCCCCTTGTTGCTGAGGATGTGTGCCCCTTGTTGCTGAGGATGTGTGCCCCTTGTTGCTGAGGATGTGTGCCCCTTGTTGCTGAGGATGTGTGCCCCTTGGTGCTGAGGATGTGTGCCCCTTGTTGCTGAGGATGTGTGCCCCTTGTTGCTGAGGATGTGTGCCCCTTGTGTTGAGGATGTGTGCCCCTTGTTGCTGAGGATGTGTGCCCCTTGTGCTGAGGATGTGTGCCCCTTGTTGCTGAGGATGTGTGCCCCTTGTGCTGAGGATGTGTGCCCCTTGTTGCTGAGGATGTGTGCCCCTTGTGTTGAGGATGTGTGCCCCTTGTTGCTGAGGATGTGTGCCCCTTGTTACTGAGGATGTGTGCCCCTTGTTACTGAGGATGTGTGCCCCTTGTGCTGAGGATGTGTGCCCCTTGTTACTGAGGATGTGTGCCCCTTGTTGCTGAGGATGTGTGCCCCTTGTTGCTGAGGATGTGTGCCCCTTGTTGCTGAGGATGTGTGCCCCTTGTGTTGAGGATGTGTGCCCCTTGTGCTGAGGATGTGTGCCCCTTGTTGCTGAGGATGTGTGCCCCTTGTGTTGAGGATGTGTGCCCCTTGTTGCTGAGGATGTGTGCCCCTTGTTGCTGAGGATGTGTGCCCCTTGTGTTGAGGATGTGTGCCCCTTGTTGCTGAGGATGTGTGCCCCTTGTGCTGAGGATGTGTGCCCCTTGTGTTGAGGATGTGTGCCCCTTGTTGCTGAGGATGTGTGCCCCTTGTGCTGAGGATGTGTGCCCCTTGTTGCTGAGGATGTGTGCCCCTTGTTGCTGAGGATGTGTGCCCCTTGTGTTGAGGATGTGTGCCCCTTGTTGCTGAGGATGTGTGCCCCTTGTTGCTGAGGATGTGTGCCCCTTGTGTTGAGGATGTGTGCCCCTTGTTGCTGAGGATGTGTGCCCCTTGTGCTGAGGATGTGTGCCCCTTGTGTTGAGGATGTGTGCCCCTTGTTGCTGAGGATGTGTGCCCCTTGTGCTGAGGATGTGTGCCCCTTGTTGCTGAGGATGTGTGCCCCTTGTTGCTGAGGATGTGTGCCCCTTGTGTTGAGGATGTGTGCCCCTTGTTGCTGAGGATGTGTGCCCCTTGTTGCTGAGGATGTGTGCCCCTTGTTACTGAGGATGTGTGCCCCTTGTTACTGAGGATGTGTGCCCCTTGTTGCTGAGGATGTGTGCCCCTTGTTACTGAGGATGTGTGCCCCTTGTTGCTGAGGATGTGTGCCCCTTGTTGCTGATGATGTGTGCCCCTTGTTACTGAGGATGTGAGCCCCTTGTTGCTGAGGATGTGTGCCCCTTGTTGCTGAGGATGTGTGCCCCTTGTTACTGAGGATGTGTGCCCCTTGTGCTGAGGATGTGTGCCCCTTGTTGCTGAGGACGTCTGTCCTTCCTCAACATTCACACACATGTTTTAGAGAGAAATATATATATAGTTGAAATAATAGAGTAAAAATAAATTGGTTAGAAAGGCGGGGCCCTAGAGCTAATAGCTCGATTCTGCAGATAGAAATAGTAAACACACACACACACACACACACACACACACACACACACACACACACACACACACACACACACACACACACACATTAGGATCTAAAATGATGGTTTGTTTCGTTCTGGCACACACACACACACACACACACACACACACACACACACACACACACACACACACACACAATAATTACTAGAGAAAAAGACCTGGAAGTGAACATAACACCAAACCTAACTCCGGAGAACCATCAGTAGGATAACATCAGCAGCGTCTGCCACACTAGCAAAAGTCAGAACATCCATCAGGAGCCTAAATAAGGAGGCTTTTAGATCGCTGTACACCGCCTCTGTGAGAAGATCAGTTTTAGAGTATGCCGCCCCATCCTGGAGCCCCCCCAGGATGGGGCGGCACCCCCCCCCAGCCTCCCACCAGGGGAGCCGGTCGGCCGAGCGGACAGCACGCTGGACTTGCGATCCCGTGGTCCTGGGTTCGATCCCGTGGTCCTGGGTTCGATCCCAGGCGCCGGCGAGAAACAATGCGAAGAGTTTCTTTCACCCTATTCCCCTGTTACCTAGCAGCGAAATAGGTACCTGGGTGTTAGTCAGCTGTCACGGGCTGCTTCCTGGGGGTGGAGGCCTGGTCAAGGACCGGGCCGCGGGGACACTAAAAAAAAAAAAAGCCCCGAAATCATCTCAAGATAACCTCAAGATAACCCCCTTCTAACAAAAATGGAGTTATTGTTGTTGTTTAAGATTCGCTATTTGGAAGAACAAGTTCCAAGTAGCACGGGCTATGGTGAGCCCGTAGTGCCTGATTTGTGATGGAGAGGGTATGAAGAGATACTGAAGGAACTAAGCATGACGATGCTAGAAAACGATGACAGAGTGGGGAGACATGGCAGAGACGTATAAAATACTTAGGGGAACTGACAGATTGGAAAATGAACAAAAGTTCACAATGAATACCACCAGAACAAGAAGGCCCGTGACTCAGTTGGGTCAAGAGATGTGTCAAAGATTTCTTTTAGTGTTAGAGTAGCTGGAAAAATGGAGTGAACTTAATGAAAATTAACTTTATGAACTTTATGAAAAAGTAATTTTCAATTACTTTTTCATAAAGTAATTGAAAATTAAAGTAAAGTTTTACTAGTAATTAGTAAAACTAATTTAAAAGTGGAGTTTATAAACGGAATAAACTAAATGCTTGTAGAAGCAAACTCTATTCATAATTTTACAGTAGATATGATAGAAAAATAGGTCAGAAGTCATTGCATTAGACAACCGGAGGATGGAAAAGCAGGGTCCAAGAGCTAATACTCGATCCTGCAGGCACAAGTAGGTGAATACTCACACATACATGACAGGTAAGGTTGATTGATTGGTGAAGATTATGCTACCCAAGAGGTGGCACGGGCATGAATAGCCCTGTAAGATATGTTAGCTTCAATGTTAATATTTTAGACTCCTTGCTCACCAGAGTAGCCCAGCCACCCGCCAACATACCCCAGCTACCCGCCTACATACCCCCCCATTCACCCACCAACATACCCCCCAGCCACCCACATACCCCCCCAACCACCAACCTCCCCTCCCCCCCCCAGCCTCCCACCAACATACCCCCCCCCCCAGCCACCCACCAACATACCCCACCAGCCACCCACCAACATACCCCCACCAGCCACCCACCAACATACCCCCCAACCACCCACCAACATACCCCCCAACCTCCTACCAACATACCCCCCCAGCCTCCAACCAACATACCCCCCCCAGCATCCAACCAACATACCCCCCACCCCCCAGCCAACCACCAACATACCCCCCCAGCCTCCAACCAACATACCCCTCCCAGCCACCCACCAACATACCCCCACCAACATATCCACCCCAGCCACCCACCAACATACCCTCTCCCCAGCCACCCACCAACATACCCCCAGCAACCCACCAACATACCCCCCCCGCCACCCACCAACATACCCCCCCAGCCACCCACCAACATACCCCCCCAGCCACCCACCAACATACCCCCCCAGCCACCCACCAACATACCCCCCAGCCACCCACCAACATACCCCCCCAGCCACCCACCAACATACCCCCCAGCCACCCACCAACATACCCCCCCAGCCACCCACCAACATACCCCCCCAGCCACCCACCAACATATCCCCCCAGCCACCCACCAACATACCCCCCAGCCACCCACCAACATACCTCCCCAGCCTCCCACCAACATACCCCACCAGCCACCCACCAACATACCCCACCAGCCACCCACCAACATACCCCACCAGCCACCCACCAACATACCCCCATTCACCCACCAACATACCCTCAGCCAACCACCAACATACCCCACCAGCCACCCACCAACATACCCCTCCCCAGCCCCCCACCAACATATCCCCCCAGCCACCCACCAACATACCCTCCCCAGCCACCCACCAACATACCCCTCCCCAGCCCCCCACCAACATACCCCCCCCCCCCAGCCACTCACGTCAACACTGCACCCCATGATTTCCGAGTCTTCAACCTTTCCCCCCCCCAGTAGGAGGAGGAGGAGGAGGAGGAGTAGTTCCTTGTAATCAAAGAGTTTTTTCCTAATTTCCCTACTCCCCAGGGTGCTGGCCGTTTTAGAGTTAATTTGACTCTGGAAGTGGAAAGAAAAGGGTTTACCTCTTTGGTTCCTTGTCAGGAGTGCCAACGTTGCAAGAGATTCATATATATATTTTTTTTTTGGGGGGGGAGGGGGATGATTGCGAATAGTTATGGGTGTTTTAAAATTACTTAATATGGGTAATTACTAGGTAGGTTTTTCTTGTTTTTTGATTGGTGGCAGTTAGAGGTGGCTGTTTGCTGGCTGTTAGAGGTGGCTGTTTGCTGGCTGTTTGCTGGGGAAACCTCTGGTTGGTTATATGGGTGTGGTGGAGGGGGTTTCTAGTGGTTGATTCGGGGTAGGGTAGAGTAGTGGTGGTGTGGGGGTGGTGGTGTGGGTGTGGTGTGGTGTGGTAGCGTTGGAAGGTGTGGGGTGGTGTGGGTGTGGTGGGGTGGTAGCGTTGGAAGGTGTGGGGGTGGTGGTGTGGGTGTGGTTTGGTGGTGGTGTGTGTGGTGTGGTAGTTTTGGGAGGTGTGGAGGTGGTGTGGGTGTGGTGATATGGCGAGGTGTGGTGAGGTGTATTGTGTGCGGGGGGGGGGGGTTGGGTGGTGTGACGGAGTGCGGTGTAATCTATAGGTGTGATTCGGTGGTGTGGCTGTGGTGGTGTGGCACAGTAGTGTGGAGTAATAATGGCAGCGAGAGCGGCGACGATGAGGATTGGGGGATTGGGAGGCGAAGGGGGGGGGGGAAGAAAACGAAACGCGAACCCGAATCATTGACTCAACGTGATCTGGGATTCGGGACTAATGAGGGTCTGGAGGAACCCTTTGATGCCGAGACCTTTTCCAGCTTCTCCGCTGTAAACATTGCAAAGGCTGCCGATGCGATTGGGAAATATTACACTGTAATTCCCTCCTCTTCCTCTTGGTGACGGGCAAATGGGGAGTGAGGAGGTGGGGGGGGGGAGGAGGTGGGGGGGGGGGAGGAGGTGGGGGGGAGGAGGTGGGGGGGAGGAGGTGGGGGGGGAGGAGGTGGGGGGGAGGAGGTGGGGGGGGGAGGAGGTGGGGGGAGGGAGGAGGTGGGGGGAGGGAGGAGGTGGGGGGAGGGAGGAGGTGGGGGAGGGAGGAGGAAGGTGGTGAGGGGGGGGAAGGAGGAGGTGGGAGGGGGGAGGAGGAAGGAGGAGGAGGGGGGGGGGGAGGAGGAAGGAGGTAGGGGGGAGGAGGAAGGAGGAGGTGGGGGGGGGGAGGAGGAAGGAGGAGGTGGGGGGAGGAGGAAGGAGGAGGTGGGGGGGGGGGGGAGGACGAGGAAGAAGGAGGTGGGGGGGATTAGGAAGGTGGAGGTGGGGGGGGGAGGAGGAAGGTGGAGGTGGGGGGGGGGAAGGAGGAGGTGGGGAGGGATTAGGAAGGTGGAGGTGGGGGTGAAAGGTGGGGGGGGTGAGAAGAAATCAGTGGTGGGGGTGGAGGGCAGGGGGGGGAAAGGTGAGGGAGGGGGGGGAAGGGGAGTAGGTAAGAGGAGGGGGGGGTGCTGTACAATAATGTCACCATTAAGGTACGAGTACTCAATATTTCCAAATTTCCTTGTTCATTGTATCGACTGAACATACTGCTAATTTTTGGTGTGCGCGCTGCTTAGAACTGCTAGTTCTGTCATTTAAGCCTCCACGGTGATCAGGTTAGGCACTCTCCTAACACTAATGCTGGTTATCGTTTTAGCAAGATATCGTCAGGTGGCGTCTGCGATAGCCACATGACGATAGCCACATCACCATGATGTTTGTGATATTTTTCGTGTCAGAATGAGCGATAGTTTGTGCAATAGACCCCTGAAAGAGAGTTATCATTAAAGAACCAGATTTTTACCATTTTTTTGGTTATAATTGCTTGTATCGTAGGACTTGTAGTGCAAAATACAACGTTCAATATGGTATGACGGTGTTTGTTCCGCTACGAAGCTGTCCGCTACACTACGAAGCTGTCCGCTTCGGTACAAAGCAATCCATTACGGTACAAAGCTGTTCACTACGGTACAAAGCTGTCCTCTTATTCCGCCAATTCCAGACAGTTTGTAAATGTCTGTAAATTGAAATCAATGCTATAACTGGTTTCTAGATGCTTAAGCTAACCTACCCCCAACCCTTGCAATGGAGAAGCTTGCAATGCAATTACCCTTGCAATGGTAAATGGATTACAAAAAACTGCAGCTGTATTCAGATTACATAATATTCATCATATCTACCAAACATGACAACAACGACACTTTCCTGTCTCATGGGAGATCACCCCTTTCCAAATTACTGTCCCCTTCTTTCCCACCCAAGAAGCTGATTAAAGAAGAGGTCTTGCTTTGACAGGAAACAAAGCCTTAAGCCAAATTGATGCTTTGGTCAGAGAGCGCTCCGTTGTTGTTTTAGATCTAGCTACTTAGAACAAAATGTCCATGTAGCACGGGCTATGGTGAGCCCGTAAGGGAGAGCGATGATTGATGAAGATTAAGCCACCCAAAAGGTGGCACGGGCATGACTAGCCCGTAAGTGGTGGCCCTTTGGAGCCATTACCAGTATCATTAGCTGATACTGGAGATCTGTGGAGGTGCGACTGCACCTTACTGACAGGTCGTGACCTTTGGGAACAGTTGAAGGGAGAGCGCTCCCTTTCCCAGATTATTTACACTGATGGATCCTTGCATCAGTCCCATGGTGCAGCTGGAAGTGCAGTTGTTGAGACAGGGAGAGATGGTTCCTTCTCCCATGAGTGTGGAGCGCGTTTAAGTAACTGGGCCTTCACTCTTATAATTATTTGCTATAACTCTCGATATAGAAGGAGTATATGAATCCCAAGTCGATACATTAATTGTGACTTCTTGTCATCCTTGACTGCACTCTGTTTCCCAAGGAATAACTGACGTACTTGTGTCTGAAGCTAGGCGAAGATTTAATGAAATAATAAATGATGGAGTCCAGAGTTTGTCTCCTGTGGATTCCTTCCCATATTGGTCTTCGAATGCATGATAGAACTGATGAGTTAGCCAAAACTTTTGGCTAACTTTTGCTGGTAAAGAATTGATTATCATTTCGGTCTGCCTTTGAGCAGCCTGAGGGCAGTAATATTCCGGGAACATCAACAAAATCTCGTAGACTTGAGGCAAGGTGAAATTCACACCAGTTGCTCCATCCATCATTATTCTATTATGCAAGAAGAACCGCACGTCTATGGGTCATCCAATAAGGTTAGCAGGTGGTACAGACTAACCTTGCCTAACCTGTTAGGTACTTAGCAGTGGTACAGACGGTACCACTGCTAGGCTTGTACAAGTACCTGCTGGGAGCTGTACCTGCTGATGTAGACTTGACTAAATGTAAACTCTGTCAGCAGAACTATTATTCACATACTTTGCGCCACAGTATAATCGAATACGAAAATTTTGCAGAATTCAGAGACAACTCTGTCAATGGTGTTCAAGAAATGTGTAAGTACTTCATTCATAATGATTTTCTGACAGGAATCTTAGGCAAGTATCAAAAGTTTCCTTACTATAGGTGTAGCCTGCACATGACTGTAAAGCTGCTGTCCAGTTGGGTTATCTTGAAGTTATCTCGAGATGATTTCGGGGCTTAGCGTCCCCGCGGCCCGGTCCTCGACCAGGCCTCCTTTTTGTTACATATCCCCCAGGAACTAGTCCGTAGCAGCTGTCTAACTCCCAGGTACCTATTTACTGCTAGGTGAACAGGGGCATCAGGGTATAAGAAACTCTACCTATTTGTTTCCGTCTGCACCGAGGGAATCGAACCGGGAACCTCAGGACTACGAATCCGAAGCGCTGTCCACTCAGCTGTCAGGCCCCTGGGTGGGTGTGGAGCAGGAATAGTGACTGACTGACTCACCGCAGATGTCAAATGCCTCGCTGAGAAACTTAATCCCAGTAGTCCTATATACCAATTTTCCATCGAGTTCTTTGAACTCTTTTTCTTACTTTTCACCTTCACGCAATTCTGATTTTCCCCGTCACCTTTCCTGTCCATCCACTTTCCTTGCTGAAAAGACGGAAAGAAATTCCGATAAGCGGAGTGTCTTGTCTTGATCTGAGCTGAGGCCTGCTGGCCTCCACTAAGTGTTTCTGCTCCTTCCTTTGTTACTTAAAGTGCCTTTTTAGGGACAGATGTTTGGATTTTTTGCTTTCATAATTCCATCGTCACTCCTTTTGTGGCTTTCCATTTGACCGGAGAACTTGACCGCGTCCAGGAGAGAATGTACAGCTGATCCTACTCTCAATGTAGCTTCTAGCCTCTGGCCAGCCTCTGATGTAACCATGACAATCTTGAGGTTATCTTGAGATGATTTCGGGGCTTTTAGTGTCCCCGCGGCCCAGTCCTCGACCAGACCTGCACCCCCAGGAAGCAGCCCGTGACAGCTGACTAACACCCAGGTACCTATTTTACTCCTAGGTAACAGGGGCATAGGGTGAAAGAAACTCTACCCATTGTTTCTCGCCGGCGCCTGGGATCGAACCCAGGCCCACAGGATCACAAGACCAGCGTGCTGTCCGCTCGGCCGACCGGCTCCCTCAACAACCCCTCCATCTTGATCACCAACCATATAGCCGCAGTTACCTCCATGATTCTTAACAGCCATTCCCCCGTGACTGTCTTCCAGCGTCTCCTGTCCTTTCTCCACTTCATCAAGTGCTCGTCATTCGTTCCTTCGGTTGTTTGCAGCTGTCAACAGCACTTCTCGATGACAAGCCTCCGACGCACTCTCCTTCCTGCCTCCTTCCCTGCCTCCTTTGTGCGTCTGGTTCGTCCTCTCTAAAGTGTTTCAGTGAAAGCAGCGTTCCTAGTGAAAGGAGATTCATTCATTCTTTTTTTTCTGTCTTCCTCTATTCTCCGCTCTTTCCTTGTTCTCGTCTTTCGAAATTTGTAGACACCTTACTAAATTTTCTCTCTTTCCTGTTTCTCTCTCTCTCAGCCTCCAGGTGTGTGTTTTTTCATCTCAGCCTCCAGGTGTGTTTTTTTCATCTCAGCCTCCAGGTGTGTTTTTTTCATCTCAGCCTCCAGGTATGTTTTTTTCATCTCAGCCTCCAGGTGTGTTTTTTTCATCTCAGCCTCCAGGTGTGTGTGTCTTCCTCTCAGCCTCCAGGTGTGTTTTTTTCATCTCAGCCTCCCGGTGTGTGTGTGTCTTCCTCTCAGCCTCCAGGTGTGTGTTTTTTTCATCTCAGCCTCCAGGTGTGTGTGTCTTCCTCTCAGCCTCCAGGTGTGTGTTTTTTTCATCTCAGCCTCCAGGTGTGTGTTTTTTTCGTCTCAGCCTCCAGGTGTGTGTGTCTTCCTCTCAGCCTCCAGGTGTGTGTTTTTTTCATCTCAGCCTCCAGGTGTGTGTTTTTTTCATCTCAGCCTCCAGGTGTGTGTTTCTTCCTCTCAGCCTCCAGGTGTGTCTTCCTCTCAGCATCCAGGTGTGTGTGTCTTCCTCTCAGCCTCCAGGTGTGTGTGTCTTCCTCTCAGCCTCCAGGTGTGTGTGTCTTCCTCTCAGCCTTCAGGTGTGTGTGTCTTCCTCTCAGCCTCCAGGTGTGTGTGTCTTCCTCTCAGCCTCCTGGTGTGTGTCTTCCTCTCAGCCTCCAGGTGTGTGTGTCTTCCTCTCAGCCTCCAGGTGTGTGTCATCTTACTTGCCATCCTTTTCCCTCTGCCTACCTCGACAACAGTCCTAAATAACAACAAGAGACCTTGACGAGAGAACGCTGCGTGGCTCTGGGGTTAACAGAAACGAGAGTTCAAATCTACCTCACTACCCCCCCCCCCCCAAACTAATATTATTATGGATTGTCATTCTCCTGCAACATTTTTCAACCAGTGTGATGCAGGAGTTAAAGTGAAGGTTGTGACGATAATCTCAAAAAATTTTAATTTAATTTAATTTAATAATTTTAAAAATAAAATATAGCAAAAATAGCAATAAAATATGAAGATTAATTTAATAACTAATCTTTTGAAATTCATTATCAACGTTTAAAAAGAAAACTATGAGAAGAATTTTAGCTGTTAAACTTTTAAAACTTTACTCTTAATACTCGTTCGTGTGTATTATATATATATATATATATATATATATATATATATATATATATATATATATATATATATATATATATATATATATATATATATATATATATATATATATATATATATATATATATATATATATATATAATCAACAACAATAAAAATTATGCTGCCTCAACAATTTCAGAAACTTGTTCAGTGTCCAGCTAGTTGAAAAGGGTTGAAAATCTCAGCTCTATTGTGATATTACTGTTCATATTTTCTCTCTTTCTTCAACTTAATCAATCGCTTTCCCTTTCTTATGCCGTCATTTCTCCTCATGCTGTGTCTCACTTCTCTTATCCTCCCTACTTCCTTTCTCAACTTCCAATTGGCTTTTGAGAAAGTAATCTCTCATAGGTACATATGAAAAATGTTCTCCCGTGTACTCCTTACACCTGTAGGCTCCTCTCTCTCTCTCTCTCTCTCTCTCTCTCTCTTCATTCTCTGCTTTCAATTCATCACTCCCTTCGCCCTCTCTCAAATATCACCTCTCCCCTCGTTCTCCCCCTCCTCCTCCTCACCCCCCCCCCCCCCACCAACATGTCAGCTCTCCCCCGATTTTTCGTCCCATGTGAGTGTCGCGCGGAGGTGGTTGGGGAGGTGGTTGGTAATTACCCGAGAGGAGCAGCTGCTGACCGGAATGAAGGGCAATTAAAAATCGCTGCGCCGTATGAGGCGAGTCGTGGAGGCTAGAGCGGAGCCTTGCCTGTCCCAGTGCCGCGTCGTCGACGGCGGGTTATGGTGCTCCACGCACGCTGTTACTACAGCTTGGTTTCTGGCCTTGTGTGGCAGTGCACAATAGAAAGTTGTTTTCACATATCCACACATTAAAACATTGATTGTAACCATGATATATATGTGCTTCAGCCTACAGTTTAGACCTATTGTCTTATGTATGACCCTCTGTCCTGCGTGACAGTGAATACTAGCATTAACTTCAATTTAATAAGACTATCAAAATCCTCAGATTAGGCAAAATTGTAATTAATTTTGTCAATAAAGATGTTAATAATAATAATAAGGTTTCTGGCGCCCGCTGGTTGGTTGGCTGCTGGATCATTCTTTCCTTGGCGGAAAGGGGGCGGCACAGCACGTTGTCTGCTTCTGCAGTAGCAGTGTGTGTGTGTGTGTGTGAGAGAGAGCGTGTGCGTGCATGTTTAATCGTGACGTGAAAATGTTAAGGAGTATGTCCTACTTACGGCCTAATAGAGTCGTCAACCGGTCAGGCCCATCATACTCTCAAGTATAACACCAGAATGCAAAGAATACATAAATCACCCGACCACACCCGCTCGCCCGGGCCGTCCAGTTCGCCCCGAGCTCGTATTAAATAACCTCCTCTCTCTCTCTCTTACGGGCTCACCATAGCCCGTGCTACATGGACACTTCGTTTTGAGTAGCTAAATCTGAAACAACAACAACAACAATCTCTCTCTCTCTCTTCCATCTCCCCCCCCCCCTCTCATAAACACACTCCAGAGGCATATATGACCCTTATCCTCCGGAAGCAATCATGGGCTGGCCATAGGAACCTTTCAGGTGTACATGGGGGCACAGCTCCCATGTACACCTGAATCCACCTCGTCTTCATCTGAGGCCTGGCCCAGAAAACAAAAGCTAGGGTAACAGGGCACACGCACACACGCACACGCGCACACGCACACGGACACACACACACACACACACACACACCACACACACACACACACACATACATTAGAAGGAACTTTTTTAGTGTCAGAGTAGTTAACGGATGGAATGCATTAGGCAGTGATGTGGTGGAGGCTGACTCCATACACAGTTTCAAATATAGATATGATAGAGCCCAGTAGGCTCAGGAACCTGTACACCAGTTGATTGACGGTTGAGAGGCGGGACCAAAGAGCCAGAGCTCAACCCCCGCAAGCACAATTAGGTGAGTACACACACACACACACACACACACACACAAGGGTAGAGCTGAGAGAGACTGATACAACATAGCGTTAATTTGGCATAGTTCCTCCTACTCAATTCGAGAGGCGCCATCATCTGCATCACTTCCTATAATTACCTCTACCCCCCCCCCCCCCAGAAGGGGAAATTTACCCTTCTTTTCGCGATTAATTTCGTGTTCCTTTTTTCCCTATACTTTTACTATGACATATTGATGTTGATCTGTTCTTTGGTCTCATTCTTCCTTTCTATAAGGCTATTTCTCAAGGCTCTGCCAAGCTCTTGGGGAACATATTAATATGTTGCTACGGAGATGGCGGATAATTTACTCAATTTAGCATGATTTATAGGACATGTTCATTCACTTGTGACTTCGATCATAAAAAAAAAAACATTGAGCCCACCGCCGGGTTGTTCAGAAGTGCTCGTTCTCGTTTTCAAGCCTATGATAGTCATACACCACTCATGTGTCATCTTTGCGGCATGTTTTATAAGAGCTGCGCATGTCATGTCACTTCAGTTTCTAGTACGCCCCAATGTGGGTTAGACGTTGACTCTAAGGACCAGGAGACATGAGCAAGAGTTCCATGACTTTCAAACTGTGTGTATTTACACACGAGTCCCGAGGACTCACAAGATATACTTCTCTGTGTACATCCTCTTTTTCTCTAAGAGGTATGCTGTGGCGGGCACACAGGTCCGGCCGTCACCAGGGGAGACTTATACCTTAGAAGACTATCCGGTATGGCAGTGTGGGACTGACTGGCTGCCAGGGTGTTACTGCCCTGCTATTTTCCAAGCCTCGGGTGCCCAATTGTCAATTTCTAAACTATTGCCTATTGTGGTTTTAAATATATCATCGAAGAGGCACATCACCGCACCATACCCCCACGTCCCTCCCTGTCAACTACACCCCACGCCCCTCCCTGCCCACCACACAGCCTATAGAGGTTGGGGAAGGGGTTGCAGACAACACAAGGTGAGAAGGCGCACACACACTAACGTCTCCAGAACCCCAATCAGCGGGGCGGGCGACGGTCGAGGCGCTGTGACGCCCCCCCCCCCCCCACACACACAAAAACCCCCACTGAACGTCGGTGGGCCAAAGAGTAGTACCTCAGGCCGCCGCGTTGGGCGCTGATGGCCACCAGCGGTAAACAAAGGCACAACATTAACTACGTGTGAGAGGTGATCGCACTCTATGTAATGGGGATGTATCTATTATGTGGGGGGAACTGGCTGCACGGGTTTGTGTCGAAGGCTGTATCCGGCCCACAAACACCCTTTGGCTAGGAGGACGGGGGGGGGGGGGGGAGGGAAGGGGGCGTGGCTGTGAGGAAGGAGGGGGGGGAGGGGGCAGGTACTTGTCTTATCCTGGCTAGGAGAAGAGAGGATTTAGGGGGAGGGGGACAGGTATAGAGAAGGGGAGGGGGAAGAGGGTAGATGATGGGGGTGGTGGCAGGTGGGGACCAAAGGGTTTGAGAGGGAGGGGTAAAAGGAGGAGGGGGAGGAGAGGGAGAGAGGGGGGGTTACTGTGCAACGTTTAAGACGGGGACGAGGATCCATCCAAGAGCGGGGTTGGGAGGGGGGAGTAGAGAGGGT